ACTTACAATCCCCTTAATAAGTTCGACTTACAATCCCCTTAATAAGTTCGACTTACAATCCCCTTAATAAGTTTGACTTACAATCCCCTTAATAAGTTTGACTTACAATCCCCTTAATAAGTTTGACTTACAACCCCCTTAATAAGTTTGACTTACAACCCCCTTAATAAGTTTGACTTACAACCCCCTTAATAAGTTTGACTAACAACCCCCTTAATAAGTTTGACTTACAACCCCCTTAATAAGTTCGACTTAAAACCCCCTTAATAAGTTCGACTTACAATCCCCTTAATAAGTTTGACTTACAATCCCCTTAATAAGTTAGACTTACAATCCCCTTAATAAGTTTGACTTACAACCCCCTTAATAAGTTCGACTTACAACCCCCTTAATAAGTTCGACTTACAACCCCCTTAATAAGTTTGACTTACAACCCCCTTAATAAGTTCGACTTAAAACCCCCTTAATAAGTTTGACTTACAATCCCCTTAATAAGTTTGACTTACAATCCCCTTAATAAGTTTGACTTACAACCCCCTTAATAAGTTTGACTTACATCCCCCTTAATAAGTTTGACTTACAACCCCTTAATAAGTTTGACTTACAACCCCCTTAATAAGTTCGACTTACAATCCCCTTAATAAGTTAGACTTACAATCCCCTTAATAAGTTCGACTTACAACCCCCTTTATAAGTTCGACTTACAATCCCCTTAATAAGTTAGACTTACAATCCCCTTAATAAGTTCGACTTACAACCCCCTTAATAAGTTTGACTTACAACCCCCTTAATAAGTTTGACTTACAACCCCCTTAATAAGTTCGACTTACAACCCCCTTAATAAGTTCGACTTACAACCCCCTTTATAAGTTCGACTTACAATCCCCTTAATAAGTTAGACTTACAATCCCCTTAATAAGTTCGACTTACAACCCCCTTAATAAGTTTGACTTACAACCCCCTTAATAAGTTTGACTTACAACCCCCTTAATAAGTTCGACTTACAATCCCCTTAATAAGTTAGACTTACAATCCCCTTAATAAGTTCGACTTACAACCCCCTTTATAAGTTCGACTTACAATCCCCTTAATAAGTTAGACTTACAATCCCCTTAATAAGTTCGACTTACAACCCCCTTAATAAGTTTGACTTACAACCCCCTTAATAAGTTTGACTTACAACCCCCTTAATAAGTTCGACTTACAACCCCCTTAATAAGTTCGACTTACAACCCCCTTAATAAGTTCGACTTACAACCCCCTTAATAAGTTTGACTTACAACCCCCTTAATAAGTTTGACTTACATCCCCCTTAATAAGTTTGACTTACAACCCCTTAATAAGTTTGACTTACAACCCCCTTAATAAGTTCGACTTAAAACCCCCTTAATAAGTTTGACTTACAACCCCCTTAATAAGTTCGACTTACAATCCCCTTAATAAGTTAGACTTACAATCCCCTTAATAAGTTCGACTTACAACCCCCTTTATAAGTTCGACTTACAATCCCCTTAATAAGTTAGACTTACAATCCCCTTAATAAGTTCGACTTACAACCCCCTTAATAAGTTTGACTTACAACCCCCTTAATAAGTTTGACTTACAACCCCCTTAATAAGTTTGACTTACAATCCCCTTAATAAGTTTGACTTACAACCCCCTTAATAAGTTTGACTTACAACCCCCTTAATAAGTTCGACTTACAACCCCCTTAATAAGTTCGACTTACAACCCCCTTAATAAGTTCGACTTAAAACCCCCTTAATAATTTCGACTTACAATCCCCTTAATAAGTTAGACTTACAATCCCCTTAATAAGTTTGACTTACAACCCCCTTAATAAGTTTGACTTACAACCCCCTTAATAAGTTTGACTTACAATCCCCTTAATAAGTTTGACTTACAACCCCCTTAATAAGTTTGACTTACAACCCCCTTAATAAGTTTGACTTACAACCCCCTTAATAAGTTTGACTAACAACCCCCTTAATAAGTTTGACTTACAACCCCCTTAATAAGTTCGACTTAAAACCCCCTTAATAAGTTCGACTTACAATCCCCTTAATAAGTTTGACTTACAATCCCCTTAATAAGTTAGACTTACAATCCCCTTAATAAGTTTGACTTACAACCCCCTTAATAAGTTCGACTTACAACCCCCTTAATAAGTTCGACTTACAACCCCCTTAATAAGTTTGACTTACAACCCCCTTAATAAGTTCGACTTAAAACCCCCTTAATAATTTCGACTTACAATCCCCTTAATAAGTTAGACTTACAATCCCCTTAATAAGTTTGACTTACAACCCCCTTAATAAGTTTGACTTACAACCCCCTTAATAAGTTTGACTTACAACCCCCTTAATAAGTTCGACTTAAAACCCCCTTAATAAGTTCGACTTACAATCCCCTTAATAAGTTTGACTTACAATCCCCTTAATAAGTTAGACTTACAATCCCCTTAATAAGTTCGACTTACAACCCCCTTAATAAGTTCGACTTAAAACCCCCTTTATAAGTTCGACTTACAATCCCCTTAATAAGTTAGACTTACAATCCCCTTAATAAGTTCGACTTACAACCCCCTTAATAAGTTTGACTTACAACCCCCTTAATAAGTTTGACTTACAACCCCCTTAATAAGTTCGACTTAAAACCCCCTTAATAAGTTCGACTTACAATCCCCTTAATAAGTTCGACTTACAATCCCCTTAATAAGTTCGACTTACAATCCCCTTAATAAGTTTGACTTACAATCCCCTTAATAAGTTTGACTTACAATCCCCTTAATAAGTTTGACTTACAACCCCCTTAATAAGTTTGACTTACAACCCCCTTAATAAGTTTGACTTACAACCCCCTTAATAAGTTTGACTAACAACCCCCTTAATAAGTTTGACTTACAACCCCCTTAATAAGTTCGACTTAAAACCCCCTTAATAAGTTCGACTTACAATCCCCTTAATAAGTTTGACTTACAATCCCCTTAATAAGTTAGACTTACAATCCCCTTAATAAGTTTGACTTACAACCCCCTTAATAAGTTCGACTTACAACCCCCTTAATAAGTTCGACTTACAACCCCCTTAATAAGTTTGACTTACAACCCCCTTAATAAGTTCGACTTAAAACCCCCTTAATAAGTTTGACTTACAATCCCCTTAATAAGTTTGACTTACAATCCCCTTAATAAGTTTGACTTACAACCCCCTTAATAAGTTTGACTTACATCCCCCTTAATAAGTTTGACTTACAACCCCTTAATAAGTTTGACTTACAACCCCCTTAATAAGTTCGACTTACAATCCCCTTAATAAGTTAGACTTACAATCCCCTTAATAAGTTCGACTTACAACCCCCTTTATAAGTTCGACTTACAATCCCCTTAATAAGTTAGACTTACAATCCCCTTAATAAGTTCGACTTACAACCCCCTTAATAAGTTTGACTTACAACCCCCTTAATAAGTTTGACTTACAACCCCCTTAATAAGTTCGACTTACAACCCCCTTAATAAGTTCGACTTACAACCCCCTTAATAAGTTCGACTTACAACCCCCTTAATAAGTTTGACTTACAACCCCCTTAATAAGTTTGACTTACATCCCCCTTAATAAGTTTGACTTACAACCCCTTAATAAGTTTGACTTACAACCCCCTTAATAAGTTCGACTTAAAACCCCCTTAATAAGTTTGACTTACAATCCCCTTAATAAGTTTGACTTACAATCCCCTTAATAAGTTTGACTTACAACCCCCTTAATAAGTTTGACTTACATCCCCCTTAATAAGTTTGACTTACAACCCCTTAATAAGTTTGACTTACAACCCCCTTAATAAGTTCGACTTACAATCCCCTTAATAAGTTTGACTTACAACCCCCTTAATAAGTTTGACTTACAATCCCTTAATAAGTTTGACTTACAATCCCCTTAATAAGTTCGACTTAAAACCCCTTAATAAGTTTGACTTACAACCCCCTTAATAAGTTTGACTTACAACCCCCTTAATAAGTTTGACTTACAATCCCCTTAATAAGTTTGACTTACAACCCCCTTAATAAGTTCGACTTACAATCCCCTTAATAAGTTTGACTTACAACCCCCTTAATAAGTTTGACTTACAATCCCCTTAATAAGTTTGACTTACAACCCCCTTAATAAGTTCGACTTACAATCCCCTTAATAAGTTTGACTTACAACCCCCTTAATAAGTTTGACTTACAACCCCTTAATAAGTTTGACTTACAACCCCCTTAATAAGTTTGACTTACAACCCCCTTAATAAGTTTGACTTACAACCCCCTTAATAAGTTTGACTTACAACCCCCTTAATAAGTTTAACTTACAACCCCCTTAATAAGTTTGACTTACAACCCCCTTAATAAGTTCGACTTACAACCCCCTTAATAAGTTCGACTTACAACGTCCTTAATAAGTTCGACTTACAATCCCCTTAATAAGTTTGACTTACAACCCCCTTAATAAGTTCGACTTACAACCCCCTTAATAAGTTCGACTTACAACGTCCTTAATAAGTTCGACTTACAATCCCCTTAATAAGTTTGACTTACAACCCCCTTAATAAGTTTGACTTAAAACCCCCTTAATAAGTTCGACTTACAATCCCCTTAATAAGTTTGACTTACAACCCCCTTAATAAGTTTGACAACCGGGTGTCTTCATTTGATGGAATACAAAAGCATGTAAATTGTGTTAGGTTATTAGTGCATTTTGGGAAAAGGTTTTTACAATGATAATAAAGTCAATTAGACGTACTTATCCAATGCCACTTAACTCATTTTCCAAAAAGGCCAATATTTTGTAATGTTTAATGCATTGTTAGCTCAGCTAGCGCATTTTGATTTCAGCCCTTTTTATCATCCAAAGTACCCTGTGCAAAAAATCGTTAGATATAAAAATCAAAAAGGTAATTTCTGGTTGCCAACCTTATGAAAGGGAGTTTACATATCAAACTAGGTGAAAAAGAGAAACAATTACATTTTGTACCGCCAATTTTGCAGCGGCATCCATTGGTTCACTCCCTCCACCTCCAAACGACAGACTTGAAACATGGTATTGGTTATCAATAAATTCATATAAAATGAAACAAATATTGCGTGAGAATCTTAGTAATAATGAGAGAATTAGTGCATTTTAGGCATTATTTCACAATAATATTTATTATATTGTTTATATATATATATTAAAATTGTCATACTTTATTACTGAAGGCAAATAAGCTTTGACGTTTGTGACTAATTAGTGAATGGTGTACTATGTAAAACATTGTCATACTTCATTACTGAAGGCCTTTTGCGAGTTCCCTTAAGCGCAATGACATCGCTTATTGCTGCAAGTATGTTACTGTAAAGAAACACAAACTAACATGATTACGCTTCCATCAAGTTCAATTTACTTGTAGGTAGAGTAATCATATTTTCAGATGTAACGGCACCTTCGAGCTAGGCAATAAATTGGGCGCCGTTACCACGAGGTTGCGAGTTCGAGACGCGCGTGCACCTTGTGTTTATTCATTGGCCAAACTGCCTTAATACGTCACTTCCGCTGAATAGAAAAACGTAGTTTAAAAAATGAATGTAGTCCCAACACAATTGTGATCATGACGAGTCAGTAAGCTAGTATGTAGGTACAGTTGTCATCTTTTTGCAATGACAACATGCCATTTCTTCGGAAAATGCGTTTATTTGGGTTATCTGAAGGAAAATTTCGAGTCAATTAGTGGCGTATTAATTTTGCCTTGATTTTTGTGAATTTCAATTTCTGTCGGCAGAGAGAGGGGGTAGTGTCACAATTGACCAATTATTTCAAAAAGTAGATGTTTGGCCCCTATTGAGTTTAGTGTCAAAATGTAGCTTAGACATAGCTTTAGAACCTCAGATATGCCGTATAAATCCGTAACTCGAGATAAAAAGTCGGGCGTTTGCCCTTTTCCCCATTGACTAGTATGGGGACGTGAATTAGGGCAGTTTGGCCATTGTTGGATGGTAAGGAATTTACAATACTCATTTGGTATACCCATTTTCTTTAATAATGACAATTATTAATAAATACAATGAGCTCAATCGTTGAACTTATCACCTCATTGATACAGCTTCAGCGCCTAGTAACTCAGAGAATGTTATTAACTATTCACGACGGATTGTATTATATGTCTCATGTTATCCCGTTTAAGGAGTACTATGGTCCCGAGAACGTCTCTTTTGCCTCTATGATTACAACATGGGAGAAATATCCACGCCTATTACCCTTGAAATACCTACCTCCTGAATATTTAAGCATTATTTTTAGTAGTTTATCGGCAGAAAGAGAACATTTCGTTTTTGATCGCAATTTTTGCGTGTTATTTAAAACGTCAAAATTCCTCAATCTCTCGGCACATCCGGGCTCCGAAGCCCCGGTCAAAACAAGGGTTCCCCTAAGGTTCCCACCATCTTGAAATGTGGTGCAATCTCTCCCGATGAAAAGGAAAATGTCCTAGTTCTGACGATAAACCAATTTATTGAGGTAGGTATTTTAGTGTAGTATGCGTGAATATTTTTCCCATGTTGTAATCGTACAGGCAAAATGTTGAGACTTTCTCAGGACATTATTCCTGGCACGGGTCTTATCAAAACGAACGCCTCCACCCCTCCGTCTATATCATAGGCTATTTCTCAAAATGTCAATTAACAAGCATTAGTATTTCCGGAGATTTGCAATAAATTATTCACCTGTTTAATCCTGATCCCCACTCATCAAGCACTTTGTAAGTTATTATAGTTGCACATTTTGCTACACCTGACTCTGTCCCCGCTGCAATTCCTTAAAATATGATCAGTGGAATCTCAAGCAAGCAATGTGGACCGGCTAGGTATACTGATACATGGTACGATCGAAGATAATAAGTAATATACGATTAAACACATAGAGAGATTGTGCTTTTATTGTTACAGGTTTGAGACACTTTAGCGCTGATTTCATCTTACCATTAAATTGAGTTTTACAAATCTTTTGATGATTTTAGCTAATGTTAATATTCTATGTACTATGAGAATGATCGTTAAAGTAAGAAACGCCGTAGTGACGAATTAAGCCAGAAGGCGTCTTTACCTGAAACATGGCTACCATGCGAGTTATAACTGTCATCTTCGGGAGTTGTTGTATTATCCACATAATTTTTCCACTGAAAAAAAACAATCCAAATGGAAGAATCTTATAACACGCATTTTATATAGATGTAAAATAAATGTTTAATGAAACGGCAATGTTCACGCCATGACGTAACGGCAAATCTAGAACGCTGAATGCATGAAGATAAGTATTAAGTGGAATTGTAATCAATGCAGAAATGTAGCTTTGGTTCTGCCGATAGGTGGAGCACATATCGGCCTCGTTCTAGTTTTTGTGTTTATTTTATATTTCTCTACAAGATGTAAGCTCATTTGTAAGTAATTCACCTTTTTTTCTGGTAGTTACGCATTAACTAAATAAAGCATCATATTCAAAACTATTTCTTCTAGTGATGTAATTTTGTAATATGTAAATTCATAATAAATGCAGTGTCTCAAAAAGAAGTTACTAATTAGTACTATATTCAATAAAAAAAGCTTTGAGTAATGGTCCAATGTGATATGGCATTGGTTAAATTAATGTCAAATAACAATATTTTTTGACGCAATCAAAACAATTCATGACTGACGTAATGTAATTTATGTAATTTCAAGTATGGCGTACTATCGAGTACTATATCTCGATTTAGAAAAAATGATTGAAACGAGAAGTAAGCCTATGCATGCACCATCATCGACACCAGCAATTTAAGAGTATATTTACGTTTTGATGCACAATCAAGTAATTGTTTAAAGGGTAATAAAAATATTTTGAGAAACGCTTCTTAAACCCCATGGCTAATGGTATATGCATTTATATCTCAATCTAAAATTTCATTTTTCAACTTTTACATTGATCAAATGTGAAAGAGATTCGTGGCTTGACTGTTCCTCGAATCAAATTGTACATTAAATTTTATGAAAAATTATTTTGAGATTAACTTTAAGATTAAAAATAATGATGAATTATTTTGAAGAAATATGTTTGGTCTCTAAAACTATTGAATTTATTATGTTAATTTTGATACTTACTACTGTTTTATCTATTCGTCCAGTAAACTCCTCATGCTTCGAGTTTATCCCCCTAAGTAAAAATGTAAAAAGGATGATGCCCATTACAAAATTCTTTTGTGCAACTAAAGAGCAAAAGAGGAACTATGAAAATGCGTGACAATACAAAATTTGACACAGTTTGTGATTAGAAGAACTAATCCCGAATGAACGACTCTTCTTCAATGAAAAGCGACCGATGAGCTACTTTTCAAAGAGTAAAAAAATCCCGATGTTGAATCTCCAATTCCCTTTAAAGATATTGTAAGAATGAGATAATATCAACTCACATGTCTAAAATATAGATATCTACACCACTACCACATCCTATTAAAATATAAAATGAATAATATTAAATGTAGTTATTTCTATAAAATCCCTATATGCTATGTTCTCTTTATGGTTTTGGCTTTATGGCGATCCTGGTTATAGGTTGACTAAAAATGGACTGAAAATATGAATGTCTAGCCAATTATCTTGTTTTTAAAAATAAAACTTGCATCGTTACATTCTGGAATTAGAACGAGCGATGACGTATTCAAGACGAGCAGCAGGATGTACCACGAACGGAACTGTCGTACTTAAAACCAAGTTGAAACGTTTTCAGAACAAGCTGAATTGTCTGAGGACGTATTTAGAATGAGGTAGAACTAATTGCAAACGGGTTTAATTTGATTAAGGACGTAATAGACTGCTTATGAACGAGTTAGCAAAAGGATAGCTATTACACCAAACCAGTTGCGACTTTGTTTTTAAAAACGTCGCCGATTTAATTTAATACTTATTTCCACTGTTTATAGCGTGTAAATACCACAAAAGATTGCTAAACTTATGAAGAGGGTGTGCAGTTATATGTTCATAGATTGTGATGTGATTAATAATTACTATTATACGTACCACACGTTGAGGCCTTCTTATCTAAGGTGTTAGATGCTTGATTTATTCTATCCAGGCCCTGGAAACCATAAACACATTACCCCGTTGGTTTGACGACTAAAAGTCCTCACATGAATCATTTATCAAATCTAAAAACACTTAATTTTAATTAAGAGTCCCGAACTATTGTACTTCTTTGAACATAATTGAGATCCGAAAAATCACTGACGTTGTTGGCAGGCTTGATGTTCTATCAAAAGGGAAGTTCCGACTGTCATATAATGGAGAGGAGTGTAATGTATTATACTCATTTAAGACAGCTAGACGTGTAACTTTAAACGAAATATTAACTAATAATATACATTAAATGTATATGATTATGAATTTCGTATTGTCGACTTTTCTATAGTTGTTTCTATAATTTTCTATATATTTGACGTGCAACGTACGTACGTATATTTGACGACGTAAGGACATGCACGGCATTAAGGACAAATACAAATATTCTTTCGAAGTGATTCCTATATATCGTACGCTTTATGAACGGTTCACATGTCGCTTATATTGGAAAGAACATGACGATATGACTATCATTACCCAGTTATTACTGGCTCCAAGACTGTAGTAAAACATATTAGAACAACCGGATGATGACGTCGTAGTCGAAGGTTTTCGAGTAGTAGTCGGCTTTCGAGTGGTGGTAGGTTTTCGAGTAGTAGTCGGCTTTCGAGTGGTGGTAGGTTTACGAGTAGTTGTCCGCTTTCGAGTGGTGGTAGGTGTTCCAGTGAAAGGACCATCGCATGGACATGGGCATGGGCAGCATTTGAAAGGCAATCCAGGTGGTCCATGTGGCTCAGGTAATTCTGGGTCTTCTGGGTCCCAAGGCGGCCATGGATTGGGGTAAGGAGTCAAAATGTGAGGGGGACACCACCACCCTCTACAACGTGGTGTTGTTGTCGGTGGGGTCGTTGTGGTTATCGGGCACCGACATATTTTTGGAGTTGGTGGAGTAGGTGGGCATTGCTTTGGTATACAAGGTCTTCGAGGGCGGCATCGTTTACGTCTACAGGGTCTTAGAGGAGGGCACCTTCTAGGTATGCAACGAGGTTGTGGCGGTTGGGGAGGACACCCAGGTGGAACTTCCCTTCCAAGAGCATACACGACGTGATCCTGAACGATCTTTTTGATCTTATAATCGTCAACAATTGTATGCAATGTGCTTAAAATTGAAAATAAAGTAAGTACATACAGGTATTTTCCAAAATATCCTGAACCAATACAAACATGGATATACCTCTGAAATAGGAGCACAGAAGTCAAAATATAAATCAGACTGAGAATATAGGAACAAAAATCTAAAATATCAAGCCTGTGCCTTTCCTTGCGTATGTAAAAAATATGGAAAATTATTCAATAAAAATAATTCACAGAATTATTGAATAACTTTCCACTAGGAAGAGCGAATTATTATCAGTGTATCGATGCACACATAATCAGATACAGATTCAGATTCAGATATGGTGGCATTGTTGCATGAGAGGAAAGAGCAACATGGAATTCATAACTGGATGACTTAAACTATGTGTGTTGATTAAGTGGACGCCACCATACTACTATTTTTATGGGGAGTGAGACGTCATGTTAAATAACTTAATGTGCAATTGAAATATTTCGAGGATATCTTCGATTTTGGATTTGTCAACCATATAACGACGCGCAAGTTCGGGAAATACCATTTTCACCATAACTAGTAGCCTTGCCCAAGTCGGCCTCTTTTGCTTATTTTGATTTCTAATAATTCACGATCAGACAAGTAAAAATATCGATTTTGGGCAAGGCTGCATTACTCTGAATCATGATTTAGTACAAGAACACAAACGTGTACAACATGTCCCCACCAATAGGTGATCTTATATACATACTGCAAAATGTTCATCCTTAATGCCGAACACAAACAGTTCAACGAACTTGGAGTTCGATTTCGCGGAATTAAAAACAAATTGAGCCGCCTGTATAGTACCTTAGCCGAATACCTCATATGTATAGAACCTGAACTTGAAACATATCTCCCAGCCATCAATAAAAGAAATCGCCAACCCAAGGCCAAATCTAAAGTGTTGTAGGATTACCATCATGACTCCATCCCTATCAAAAGGATCCGTTACCCCATGTACCTAAAGGTGCCCCCAAAGGTTTCATTGAATATAACATGGAAATAGTTACTTTTATAAATTATGAACACATCCAAAACAAAATTAGGTCATAGGGATTAAAACTAAGGTCATTCAGTGCATTTAAGTTTGACTATGCAAATCATTCTAAATATCATGTTAAGGGTATGTTAGTCTTCACTCATGACTATTTTAAGTATATTGACCATTCAATCAATCGATATATCAAAATATCATTAAGGTAGGACACAAAGGGCAACATATTGAAAACACAAATCGTAAAACAACCCATAAAATGTAATATATCTATGAATCTTAATCTTGAATCTCAACAAAAGTATCACCTCAGTTGGAATGCAGTAGGTTTAACCTAGGATATTCAATTTAGAGGACATATTACACATCATTATCAAAGGTAGGACACAGGGCAACATATTGAAAACACAAACCCTAGGTATTCAACTCAAATATTAAAAATCTAGTTGTGACTTTCCAATATATGATATATTTATTTGGCATTTTCAAAGAATAATTCAATTGAAGCTAAAGGTATAAAGTCAAATGGTTGCTTTTTAAAATTGAAAAGGTGCATATGTAGGAGAGTTTTTTCGTCAGTTTGAAACCCATTGTTTTGCTATCAAACAAGTGGAGGTATTTTATTCTATCTATTGTATAACATATAATTATTATGAAGTAAAATATTTTAGTTTGACTTAGGATGAGAACTATCTTACAAGCAGTGTCCCTTTAATGGCTAAATGGATATTGAATCAGTCTTTCAGCAATATATCATCTTTTGGGACAAGCTTCAAAAATAAATTGACCCTTTTGTTTCTTTTGGTGAGAACCACCTTGCAAGCAGTGTCCCTTTAAACAGCTACATGTATATTGATTTAGTCCTTCGGCAATATATCATCTTCAGGGTTAGGCAATTGAATGAAGAATCAAAAATAGATTGACCCATTAGTTGAGAACTACCTTACAAGCAGTGTCTCTTTAAATGGGTAAATGGATATTGATTCAGTCCCTCAGCAATATACAACATTCAGGGGCAGGGATGACTGACGAATCAAAAGTACATGTACGAGGGGTGATCAATAAGTAATGGACACTTTTTTACACAGATGCTTTTTATAGACCAATCCCTTCGATTTTCTTACCAGTGATACATCATTCAATTATCTATCAACTCTGAAGATTTGAAGACAATATATATATTACATATTGATATATCCTTATTTCCGTGAAGGAGGTACAGGTACCCCGGGACCGACATTTACGTCACATATTCTGAAGCTATTCTAGATTGTTTAACATGCAATACAGTTGAATGCAGGCTGAACAAAACAAACCATTATGGTAATGAATTACCCCATTTTGTTATTCCATAGTTGATTTTGAATATTTTATCATCACTATGTGGTATTCATGCCACATTCATTCCACAGGGCCCTCTAAATAGATTCCATCAAGTGCTACATGTACACAATTCCTCATCCTTTTAACTCAAGATTGTGAGACAAGGCTGAATCCATTCTCTGACATGGTAGCAAGATGCAGTTGCACGGGTTGTTTTATTTCATCAATGTCAATAAACCTGTGTCCTTTCTCTATAGAAATAAGTAGTATAGAAATAAACAAGTCACATGTGAGCAGATCTCGATAATATGGTGCATTGGCCAAGGGCTCAATTTTGATGTCCATGGGTATTGTTTTCTGAACATTTTGAGATCTGTGGGCAGGTGCATTGTCCATATGGAGTAGGTGTTCCCTTCTCTTACCACCCCTTTCTTCCACAATGCTTTCTCAGATTGACCTGCAAACCCCTTCCATACAACACTCTGACATTACAATACTTTCTGTTTATGTGTTACCAGTCAGCAAAAAATTTAAACAACACAACACTTGTTGCATATAAAACGTTCAAATCTAACTGAAATTTACCCAACTGGCTAAAATCTGAATATGTGACGTAAATGTCGGTCCCGGGGTACCTGTACCTCCTTCACGGAAATAAGGATATATCAATATGTATTATATATTTTGTCTTAAAATCTTCAGAATTGATAGATAATTGAATGATGTATCACTGGTAGGAAAATCAAAGGGATTGGTCTATAAAAAGTATCTGTGTAAAAAAGTGTCCATTACTTATTGATCACCCCTCGTATATTGACCCTTTGATTCTTTGTTAAAAATAGTTTAATGTTCATTAGGATGAGAACTATCTTACAAGCAATGTCCCTTTAAATGGCTGAATGGATAATGACTCGGTCCCTCTGCAATATATCATCGTCAGGGACATGCATGAATGTTCGATCAAAGATAGATTGGCCTATTTGTTTCTTTGGGTGAGAACTACCTTACAAGAAGTGCCCCTTTAATGGCTAAATGGATATTTATTCAGTGTCTCTTCAACATATCATCTCAAGAGATAGACATGACTGATGAATCAAAAGAAGAATGACCCATTTGATTCTTTGTTTAAAACATTTTAGTGTTCATTGGCATGAGAACTACCTTACAAACAGTGTCTCTTTAATGACTAAATGGATATCAATTCAGTCCCTCTGAAACATATCCTCTTCAGAGGCATGCATGACTGATAAATCAAAAATAAATTGACCCATTTGATACTTGTCTGATAGTTTGTTGCCTTGGTGTCTGGCAGATCCAATATGGCCTCCTTTTTGAAACTAATTTTTTTGCTATACTTTCACATTGTATATCTTCCGCAGCCAGGACCCTCTCTAATTTCATGTTTGAACTATGCAATAATGCCAATACAAAACAATAAAGGTGAAATCAGAGGGGGTCTGACCTGCGGAAGCACCTCAATCTGTCAGTCACTGTAGAAGGTCATCCATTCTTAAAAACAAGAACACAATAGGGTGCCTTTCAAAACAATAGGATTTCAAAGTATCTATGCATGGTTGATCTGCTTAGTGAAGGTTATTATGCTCAGACACAATGTAGTTTTATACTGACAAGTCAATTTAAGTGTATCTACAAAAAAACAAGATTTTATTCACGGTTTTGTGAAAATATGTGAAAATTACTCATTTAAAGAGTCAAAATGACATGTGTTAAGAATCACTGTAAAAAACAACTTTTTACCATATTCTAAATATTATTTTTGTGATTTGTTGAAAATATACTTCTTAAAGATTCATATTATATAAGAATAATCCTGGAATTCCAATTTACCCTTTTCGAAAAATTTCTAAGTCCTTATAGGTACACTAATGGGTACAGATCCTTTACCAAGAATGTCGAAAAAGAAATCAGTTCTGGATGTTCAAACTAAGAATAATTCCTTAAATTTTGATATTGATCCCTCAAACGGTAAACCTGAAAATGCATAGACAAGAATTGAGGACGGAAAATCCAAAAAGGCTGCCTTAACATTTACCAAGAATGCCAAAAAACTAATCAGTCGTCGATTTCCAGTCTAAAAATCATCCCTGAAAGGTTGATAACGATCTGTCAAATGGTTATTCTGGAAATGAGTAGACTTTACAGACATGATTTCAGGACGGAAATTCACAGGATGTCTTCAATTTTACCAAGAATTCAAAAAACGAATCTGTTCTAGATTTTACTACTAAGAACCATCCTTGAAAATGTGTTTGATTCGTCAAACAGTTAACCTGAAAAAGCGTGGACAAGACTTTACATACAAGATTTTAGAATAGAAAATCCAAGATGGCTGCCATGACATTCACCCAGAATGCCGAAAAACTAATCAGTTTGAAATTTTCATAATATGAATCATTCCTGAAAATTGGAAATTGATGTGTGAAACGTTTCACCTGAAAATGCGTACACACGACTTTACAGACAGGATTGCAAATTGCATTGTTATAATTAAAATAAGTCGTACATACCTATCACTTGGACATGTCACGATGTACATCATCAATGGGTCAAACAGTTTGCTTATGGTTGTTTCCCCGCTACTACAGGTTAAAGATAAGGCACCGGATCTTCCAGATACACTACTTTTGAGATCAATTTTAGAAGGAGTTCCTTGACGAACGTTTGAATCTTTGAGCAGAGTATTGAAGTGGACTTGGGCTATAACATAGCATTATGTACTACGAAGTTAAAGATGTAAAATATTATTAAACAGCCTAAATTATCGTTATGAAAAGTATAGTTAAAAGTTAAATGGGCAATATATTGACATTGACATTTTGCAAAATCATCTACAAGCTCTCAGATAAAAATTGACTTCAGATATGAAAATTGTCAGAAGTTCAAGTCTGGCTTAAGATCAAACTCATAATATTGTGAGAAACTATGTGGTGACATTTTGTCATGTTAAATGCCTTGTTTAAAACCTGTTATGCGAAACCACTCTAATGACTGCCCACTGCTTACATATTATAAGCTTTTGTAAAATATTTATCATGTAAGATCATATATTAATATCCAGATCTAGATGACTAGATCGTATGGTGTGAATCAAGCTACTGTAGGAACACCATATATATATTTACCCGTTCGAGCTGTCTTTACTGTTCTTGTGTTGAAAAATACAATGTATCGATTTTCCACAGAATCAGCACCAACACGTGCACCAGTCTTGGGGGCTGCGACAAACTTCGCTGTAAGAAAATATCAAAAATATCTCCTTCTTGATAGAGTCAGTACAATGCTGAAATCTTAAAAAGCAATGGGTATACTTTGAGGTATTCACGCCTTGCTTTATATAAGGCCACAATTAAAACCTGTCTGGGTTTTAAACAATGTTTTACTTAGATATGGGAAACTTGGCTAAAATTGTTTTTTACTCCATTGTTTAAGAAAACATTCATTGGTTGCTGAGTAAATGCTCCTTATCTTGGGATGATATATTGGCAGCTTGGCTAAACTGTTTTTTGTTTACTCTGTTTCTCATGAAAAATGAAAAAGATCTGGTAGAATTTGGTTAATTTCACCCTTTTGTTAAGATAAACATTGATTGTTAAGGATATTATATTGTGATAAACTATTACAATTGGGCAAAACTGTTTGTTGAACTTTGGTCGTTACAACCCTGTATTCTTTGCAATCACATATAAAAAGGGATTTGTATCGATATGGAGAACTGAATTCAACAATGTTTTTCTCTTAAAGCAATCATTGAAAACATTCTGTAAAAAACACGTTATTTTATGTAATGTTGACTGATTGACAACAAGTTTATGAGAAAATTATTTAGAAATATTTTATATAACTGTTTTTGTTAACATTTTTTGTTTTTTTAGTGCAATTGTTTTTGCTCCTTTCTACCAATTCTTGAGAATGAAATGAAATGTCTTTCCGAACGTTGTAGGAACAAAATAGCATATACAACATGTTTTTAGACCTCTCAATATTATGGTTATACAAAGGAATTTTTGGTTGATTTTAAAAAAAGTATTCAAGAAATTAAAAAAATCCCCCAAAAATAGATAGAAATCAAGATAAACCTTTTATTTCATTGACAAGATACTTTTTTAAAATCAACCTAAATTTCTTTTGTACAATTACAACATTGAGAGACCTAAACATGTTGTGTTTATGTCGTTTTGTTCCAATGAGGTTCGGAAAGATGTTTCATTTCACTCTGGAAACATGATACCAAGAATGTTAAATTTTTAGATTTTTTATGACTGGTTTAAGAGAAACGCGTGTTCAAAAAGTTCTCCATATCGATACCACTCCTTCACAAATATAATAACAGTGTAGTATTTTTCAAGTGAGGGGAGTTGAAGTATTAGCAAACTATACTGTCACTGTTATGAATTTGATAAGGTAAAACACACTCAGTTCATTGTAAACGCGTTCTCTTCACGAATTTGAGAAAAAAAACATTTTTCAGAAACTAATTGACAGTGTTGAATACATTTGATTTTTAGCACGTTTCTGAATGTTAATGCAGACTATAACATAATAATGATGATTCCCTTTCCGAACTTGAGATATAATTATTTTTATTTTATTTTATTTTAATAAATCACTTAGTGGTATTTAGTACATCTTGAAATACAGGGTGGTTTAAATAGAAACCCTGCATTTTCTCTATATCTTTGTCATTTTTGAAATAACCAATTTTTTTAAATTACAATTTCCTACCACCCTATTATTTCATGACCATCAGACTGATAGTCAAAATATTACACCAATTCGAATAACATGTGTAAGGTTTGGCACAGTTGTTAATGGCCCGAATGCATTCCTCAGTAGTTATGGCCTGAATGGCACGAGTGATCTCATTTTTGATGTTTGCAATTGTCCCGAGGTCATTTTCATATACTCTTTCTCTGCCATATCCAAACAGGTAGGGATATTTTAGACGACGAGTGCAGGTTTCCCGACAACGCAATAGTGGCCCCTGGGGCACGTTCTTTAGAGTGCTTTAACATTGTCACAATCAATCTGATGGTCATGAAATAAAGTAGACTAGTAGCAAATTGATTGATAACAGGATCGTAAGAGGTTCTGGACAAATCATTTGATTCTGGACTTGACATTTTTTTTTTCCAACGAAATCACATCCAAGGGTTGAATTTTTATTGGATATTTAGAGAGCGAGTCCTGTATTGATTTCAATAAAAAGGTTAAAATAGAACGCTATTTGAGAGTTAATCTTATACTTTCATTACATTGATAAATTAAGGCAAATTCTGAAAAATTTTAAAGTGCATTTTTTATGAAATATTATCCAAGTATTTAGATGAAACGGTCTTATTTAAATACAAATCATAACATGATGATATTTTTTCATAAAATATTTCTTCAAGAAATTCAATTGAAGGCTCAAGATAAAACGAGCTAATTTAGGTGAAAACCCTTACATGATGATGTGTTTTCATGACTTCTTTCATAAAATTCCATCAAGGGGTGAAAATAAAATGATCGAATTTAAGTGATTTAAGGATCACGAGGATAGGTTTTCTTGGATATTTTCTATGAAATCCCATCCAGTGGTCAAGGTAAAAATTTTATTTGGTATATTTGGTCACGTGTTCGAACCCATAGAACCATATAGGAACGTCATTTTGAATGTTACGTGATAAATCCATATAAGGCTTTTAGAACAATGTGGGGAAAGATGAGGGGAAACCCCTGACACCTGTTTCACGATTTTATCCGAACGTTCATCGGATCATTTCGGTTTTTATGCACTTCATTATTTTACCGAAGTTTGCCGATTCGATTCGTCGTATTTCGGAATATTGGGGACAATTTTATACTCCATTGGGAGTATTTTTAATCTACTTCTTATTACGAAGATTCCCGAACCTTGTTCGGATTAATCCGGATTTTCTGACCTACTTCATCTACCGAGATTTAACGAGTTTACATTCGGCTCATTTCGGAATCCTGGTGACAATTTTATACTCCATTGGAGTATTTTTGATCTACTTCTTATGACGAAGATTTCCGGATTTTCTGACCTACTTCATCTACCGAGATTTAACGAGTTTACATTCGTCTCATTTCGGAATCCTGGTGACAATTTTATACTCCATTGGAGTATTTTTGATCTACTTTTTCTGGATTTTGCCCTACTTATTATATCTTTACAACAAGCAAATCAAAAAATTCGCCATGAACGGGTCTCGATCGACTAACCTAGAGCATGGAAGCTAGGCACGTTAGCCATGAGGCTAACGTACAACCGATACGAAAGGATAAAAGTATTATATATTTATACCGAGCGTCAATTCAAAATGATCTTCACTTTTGACTGCACGTAAATACAACTCGTCAGTTGTATCCAGAATAGATGAACGCCTATGGTACTAGTGAATAACCAAGTCCCAGGCGAGTGGTTCGCACCCCACCGTGATATGTTATTTTTGCTTTTTTAATACGACAGAAAGGAGCAAGGTCACTGGCATGTAGCGGTCCTGATATCGATACATTCTACACGCAATAAAACCAGATACCTGCGTGTGATTAAAACTACATGTTAGAGCGTCGATATCCTACAAATCCTATTTTTTCATAAAAATATTTTTTCATGAAATCCAATCGAAGGGTGAAGATAAAACGATCTTTTAGGTAAAACAGCTTTACATGATCTGGTGATGTGTTTTCATGACTTTTTTCATAAAAGACCATTCTCGGTTTGGAGAACAAAGTTCGTCACTCTAATTGAGCGTTATCCCTGCTTCGGACAAATTTGATTTTTTTTACATAATATAGATTTGAATGTCTTCTTTTGAATAGTCATAGTTTAATTTGGGTAATATTTCTAGATTTTTCATATAAAAATTACTAGTGAAACACCCAACGTCGCTTTTATGATTCGTACCACTTTTTAAACTTGGTGTATTGCATATTTCCGTGGGTTGATTTGAAAAAAAGACAAACAACGTATACATGAATATGTCATAAGCATATAGTGAGATAATTGTTAGATTAGGTTTGCTATAAGTGACTTTAAAACAAAAAAATAAAAAACATTAGTTCACGTGTTAAAGTCCCATTGACCACGACATCAAGGAAAATTGAGCTTTTTGTCATCAGACATCTTTATAGATGGAACTAGCTATGTACTACATTTTTAAATACACTCACATTGTACATGTAGCTGTAATATCTAAGATGTTATTTTTATTGATGAAAAGATTCTTACATACTAAAGTTACATTAAAGTGTCTTTCTAAGACTTAGAAGGAGAAATGTGAGATTTCGAGCCATATGTCTCAAGAAAATGCTCTTACCTTTCTAGTAGGATGAGTTCAGGTGCCAAAAAAAGCTGATCAAAGGATATATATCATTTTCTAATTGAAAATTTTTGTTGAGCCCTGCATTTTTAACACTGTTTTGACAGGAAGTCATACCCAAAATGAAAACTGAATAAAACAACATTTATCCTAAATGTAGATCAAAATACTTACTCAGACATGCAAAATGTTATTATTAGTAGTAATGCTGATCATTTTTAAGAAATTTAAGCATGTAAATAAGACTTTTTTCGTCCATGATTATATAGATAAAGAATTTCTTTAAAACATCATGTAAATAAGAATTTTTTCGTCCATGATTATATAGATAAAGAATTTCTTCCCTCAGGAAGCTTTGGCAGTTTGGTGTAGTGGTTAGAGCTTTGGGCTATCATAGACTTTTATTCCAAAAGATCTGGTTCAAATCCCTCCGGTGGAATTTGTTTTTATTCTTTATTTTTGTTTTTTTTCATTTTGATCCACAATATTTCTAAAATAAATTTCCATATATGGCACTTAAACCATATTTAGTATTTCCAAGGGTTTTAATTTTTAGATGAAATCATAGAAAGTTACTTTAAAATATCAATTGCAATAGCCACCTGTTTTTAACATCCCTTTGTCACTCATCCCTTAATTATCTCTGTGTATCTTAAACGTGTGTGTGTTCGATGTTGATAGCACCCGAGTGCAACCTAAGGAGCACATACAATACATTTTGTGTATGCCCAGTCTGGCCGCCTTATATCTGCCTGCACCGAGAAATGGGCGCAGCTTTGACAATTAACGAATGATATAACGATATCACGGATTTCACCGAATGTTATTCATCCCTAAATAGCTTTTTTATTTAGTCTTATGATCCGACTGATGTTTCAATTTTTTGCAGTGACTCTGAAATTGCT